CGCTTGATTTGAAACAAAGGCAATAATAATTCTCTTTGGGATTTGTCCGAGGTGCAAGTTGGGGATAGTTTTATCTTGCAGTCCCACAGGAATAGTAAACGTTTTCAGATCGACACGTGTTAGTGGATATTTAGCGGGTGCCTTTTCGAGGGCCGCTGCGTGGGCAAGAAGTACAGAGGGAGACACGCGCACTTTTCGCACGAGTAGTGTAGCGTCGAGAATAAGTAGCTTTTCTGTTTGTTTTGTGGACATGAGTACAAAAGAATCACGGCTGCGAGTAAGTTTAATCCTCAGTTCAACGTTATTAAGCAGAAATCGATCTTGGTTAAAAAAGTCGCAGTGAATGGGGCCCATGAGTTCGAAAACTTTGCTGTTCTTAGTGAGTTGCCGTCTTTTGGCGAGTCCCTCATTGTCTTTCATATCGTCCATACGTCCTGCTGTGTCTTTGTAAAACCCACGCATGGCCATGTGTGTAGTTTTTGCGGGCGTGTCATAGTTAAGGACAGCCTCAAAAATGCTTCGATAGGGGTAAGTCATGACAGATTGAGAGATAAGTGTTTGGTTGGCCTCCACGTCCACTTGACAAAAGGCGGAGCTGAGCGCGTAGTTTACAAGGGTGGCGTCACTCTTATCCGATTCTTTAATATCAGAGTTATCACCGTTTACGATTTTTCCCTTAATGAGTAAAAGTGTGTGTGCGGGGTCGATATATTCGTGTCCGGTACCGGGAACACAAAATTGTATCGTGTTGGATTGGTCGAGGGTGTTAACAGACTTGTAATGCGTCCATTGCCCCCCCTCCAACACGGTTTGTGTGGGTGGTATGGTCCATAGGTCCAGTTCGGTGCGGAGGGCTTCAGTGGATGCACTGTGTAGAAATGCCATCTTCAGAAGATGTGGTTCGCGGTATCTAGCTTTATTTTCTTTTTGTTAGCGGACCGTCCCGTGCGAACACCGCGTGAAGACTGAGACTTTGCTTTACTCTTGCGCCGTTTTATACCCTGCCCGCTCATTCGATTCGCTAGATTTCGGCCCGCTTGGCGGAAATGCTGTTGGACACTATTCTTGAGGGGAACCTCCCCTGACACGGCGTCGGCCAGAATGTGGCTGCCGGCCCTCATGGCTTCGCGTCCGACAGCTCCAGCACCTTGTTTCACGAAGGGTAGAATGCATCTGAAGAGGCCTCCGAGAAAACTTCCGATTCCTGCACCCTTTTGATTTTGTGCCCCTGCGAAGTAGTTCATACCAGACCCTGTCTGGGCCTGATTGACGTAGTACGCTGTCATGGCCGACATGTTGACTATGCTGAGCGCTGTCTAAAATGACACAACAAGGACGACGTTCCGTGATCGAATGGCATGAATTGGCCAGAGTGTGTCCTTATATTGATTTCTAGAGTGTCAAATGACTTTGTTTTAAGTTGGAAATATAAAGGTGGATCACATCTATATGAGGTTATTCCTCCAAAAGTGGAACGTGATTCAACGGGGATAGTACGCAGCAAAGGAGCACGGGTGTGTCCTACAATTTGATCTTGAATGATGTCAAGGTAAATATACATTTGAGGAGGTGCGCCCAGAGTCATGTCAACGGGGTATGTGCCATAGAGTGTTTTTTCTACAGGATAAGGCCCCGCGTGCAGTAGGCCAAGTTGTAAGGACAGCAAAGGAGAAAATGTGTACTTTACACCGGGTGCATAGTGTAAGGGGTGAATAACAACGTAGTCGTCATTAGTAACTTCAATAAGTGTTGTTTTTTTGTCCCCGGCATTGAGATCTTTGTATGCAGTTAAAATTTCATTGAGTTGAGCAATTATGGGTTTCGAGTTTTTGTATTGTCCTGTTTGCATGTTGTAAACATATTCACTACCGTTAGGATACAAAATAGTGAATGAGTTTTCCCCTTCTGTCACGTGGTGTATGGTGTTTGGATAATGAATTTCGAGGAGAGCAACTTCCCAATCGCCATGTAGTTCCATGCGCTCTGATAATTGAATTTTAAAATTGGATGTTTTGTTTTCAGGGTAAATCAGAGGACTGGCGTTGCTGGGGAGCACGACGTGAAAGTTCATGGTGATGTGATGATGTCTTTTTCCAGCAGCCAAGAACGCGCTGACTTCGGATAACCACGCCAGTGGACGAGCATTTGCTTTCTGGCGCCTTTACCCTTTTCATCCACTATATATGCAATTTTGAAGAGTTCAGGTTTTGATACGCGGTTCAGTTCCCACGAGTAAAATGTTCCTTCCAGTTCTTCGTTTTTATCCAAGTCGGCGATACGGTACACAGGTTGTTCATGGGGAATGACTTGAGTGATCTTAAATATCTCTTCGGACCAATTCCAGTGACACCCTTTTTCAAATCTTTGTTTTTCTCTTGAAATTCGGACATGATCGCCAACTTTCAGTTGAGGTTTTACTTTTTTCCCGTTCAACTTTTGCGAATACAATGTGTTGTAAACTTGAAGCAAGCGTTCAGGTTGACTCGCTTCAGCGGGTGTCATTTTAATTATTCTGTGTATTTTATGATTGTAGGCGTGAGTGACATTTTCCAAAACACCATTATTAATGTATTGGTATTTCTCTCTATGTGTGAAAATTCTTTGCAGCCAAAGTCTTAAACTGCCGATAAATCGTTCCACTATTGTACATTTAGTGTCTGGATTATTGGTGTGGGCGTAATCAATATGTTTTTCGTGTAAATATTTTTTCAGTGTGTTATTATTTAGCTCACCCCCTTTATCTGTAATGATTCGTGTAGGACGCCTCTCCGTGCTTTTAAAAAGTGCGTCAAAAGCATCCCTCACTGTGATAGCTTTCTTATTTTTTACAGGTATTGTCCAAGCGTAGCGTGAAAGGACATCGACGACACAGAGTATAAAAACATATCCATTATTATCTTCTTTTATTGCACTAAAATCTGCCAAATCAGCTTGCCAACAATCGTCAATGTTGTCAGCGTACGTCACATTACGCGGAAATGTTCTTCTCGCACGTTTATGAAGTGTGTGTGAGTCTTTCCCCTGTAAATATTGTGAGACGTCTTCTTTCGATACTTTTGTGGCCTTTCTGAGTCTTTCTAATGTACTGAATCCTGCGGGGTGTCGTGTGTTGGTGTAGATCTTCTCAATACCACCGTGTCCATTTTTTGTGTTGCGCAGGCCTTTGCTTAAGTTTTCGCTTTTTGCGTGGAGGTGTGTTTGTTTCCGGGGCGGCATACTGAAGAATACCCGTGCCACTTTGTGATTGGAGGGCCTCTAAGTACTGTTTGTTTCCTATAATTTCTAAAGGCGTGTTGAGCGATTTTAACACAGAAACAAAGGAGCTCCACTCTTTCACTTTAGATTGTTTACGACCCCGAATGGCGTCTGCGATTAAGTCAATGATGCTCTGTGGTTTTCCACCGACTGAAGCTGTTCCGTCGGCGTTCCACGTAATAAAGTGTTGTGCCGCAGGTGTACTCAAGTGATCGTACAACAAACTAGCAGCATTTGTGAATGTTTTTGGTACAATTTTCAAAAGTTTTTCTTTGATGATGGCATAATGTGGGGGGAGCGAGTCTTTTGTGTGTTCAGACTCGATTGATTCACTCGTCTCCGGTAAAATGATGGAAGCGGGTTTTTTTTGCTCTTTCACGAAATACAAATATCTTTGTAGTGCTTGATCGTACAACTTAAACTTTTCACTGTCTTCGGCCTTTTGTTTAAGTATGCGTTGTATTTCGTTGTCGAGATCACTCAAGACATCGCTTGTCGTGCGCGAAGCAGACTTTTCGTTAAGCCGTGCTAGTGTTTCATGTGGGAGCAGTACGAGTTTTTTACAGTGTTCCATTATGATCCAAAAATCAGTTTTCCAATGGTGGGTGCTAGAACGCTAAGGAGCAACGGAAGGAATGAGCCTCCCTTTTGCGTGAGTGCTTTCTTCTTCTTAAGCCACGACTCCCCTCTCTTAGCCAATTTCTTTAGAATGGTTTTGTGTTTCTTAAGTTTTTGCTTTTGTGCGTTTGAGAGTGGGACGTGTCCCCGAAGAGTGTTATCACAAATTTCACAGATGGAGTAAATGAGTGTCTTGTCTGCTTCGCGGAGGATGGCTTTGCGCAAATTAGGCGTGGCGCGGTGTAGTACACGCAGCAAATCTTTGTGTATGGTCTTCTTGGTCCGAGTCATCGCAGCGAGATGCACACGGTCGGACGCATCACGATAAAATGACTACTCTGATCCACAGAGTGTGCTTTTATACTTGCCTTTCGGAACGTAAACGATCGTATTTTCATCAGGAAATATGTGTGTACGAATACGCAAATGGTCTTTTTGTTTGACATGAAAGTCGAACAAAATGTACGAGTGACCCTCGCGTGTTGCGTCTTCATAAGCCTGAAGCATACCTCTCCAGTGAGTGGGGTCTACTTGTAATACAAAAGTTCTTATCTGTTGTGTATCTCGGGGCGATTTTAGAATGAACACATAATGGGCTTGTAGACTGATTTGTCTAAAATTGGGCGGGAAAAGTGCTTGTGACAGAAACCAAAAACTTAAATTTCGGTGATGACTTCCTTTTATGGCAATTTTCAGAAATTCTGGATTTTTTATTTGGTCCATAAAGTCATCAACAACCACTAATTTAGGTCCGGCCCCTGTCGGAAAATGGTCGAGTGCAGGTGGCCCTTCCACAAATGTAACGTCATGTTTTTGCACCAGTTCGTCATAAATCGATTGATACTCGGAGTAGTACCAAATAACCTCGACGAATTGAACATCGAACATTTGCGAACGATTTTCAACTATTTTTTTAACCAAGTAAGTCTTGCCCGCTCCGCTAGGAGCGCAGACTAGGGTATTCGATGGATGACAGAAGCGCAAATCCATGTTGGCAGTAAAGTGTTTCAATGTAGACTGAATGAAATGCCATGGGTCATCATTTTTATAGGCATGTTTTAAAGAGAAAAACTGAATCAATTTCATAATAGTTTTATTCGAGATCAAACGTTAATATAAAAAGGCGATTTACAATAAATAAATTTACAATACACATTTACAGCACACAGTACACATGTTTTATTCATTATACAAAAGTGCCAGTGTGTTAAGGAGGTCATAATCATCGTCATCTAGAAGTGTACCTTGGTAACCATAAGCCACTGTCCGTTCTTTGTCTATACGTCTTCGCTTATTCAAACACACCTGCCACGTTTTTGATGAAGGACGTGTAACAATGCGCCACCCAGGCAACCGCGCTATCTGTGCAGGTATGTGTACAAGTGTCTGTTTTTGTTCATCACTGAGAATCATGTCTTTAAGTGTTTCAAATGTGACAGTCTTTGCAGAAGACGTGTTTACCGAAATTCCGCGGACTTTGATCACTGTTTTAATGTTGTTCAGATCACCCCCCACCGCTGTTTTATAACTGTAATTTTTTGGTCCGGCAGCTAAAAACTCCGTTATAAATGATCCAGGACCGTAATCATCGGCGAGTTGATCCGTCATGTCACCCAGAAATTGACCCAACTTTGGATCGGGTTGACCAGGAACAGAGAGGAAGCAGATGGAATCTGAAACAACGGAAAACGTCATGGATAAGTTGAAATGAAAGAGTGAGGTTAGTTTTTGTTGTGAAAGAAAAAAAATCACCTGTGTCATGGTAGATTGCTCTTTCACCCACAGCATCCAGGTACTTGTACAAGAGTAAACGCCCGTGGGCTGTTGTGTAAGCAGCGTGTATCAAGGATGTTGTTTTCAAACACTCGTCTGTTTCCTTAATGGGCGTGTAGCTGATTTGAAGACAATCCTCTCCCAGAGGCAAAATGGAGTTGATGATGAGGGTTTGATCTTGAGTCAGGCGAATCAGTTCACCATAACTAAAGACAAACACTGTCTTCGTGCGTAGAGTTCTCTCGCCCATTTTACCCCCTGCAAGACAAAAAGAAGGTGAGTACATGTTTTCTTAATTTAAAATGCAAAAAAAAAAAGGAAAACAAAACTACAAAAAACAATAAAGTGAAACCTGGCAAAAAAACCCCTACCCACGGTTTTTTCAACTTTATCTTTTCTAATAACAATCCCATCTCTATCGCAAATTTCTTGAATGTATTGGTCTTTTTGTTCTTCAGTTTGTATATGATGTGGCCACCCCGATGCCTCGTATTTTGCGGCCATATTATCCCTGACATAGGAAGAGAATAACCCCCCTGTTTTTGTGTTATTGTCAAAAACTTTGGTGCCTGGGTATTGATGTAATTCGTGTACTCTCAAAATTTTGTATCCCTTTTTTACAGCCAGTTGGAGTTCAATGACACACCAAGAACTCGTCAAACTCCTCTCCTCATCCGTGTGTGTGCATTCATCCTGACTCTGTGTCTCTGCGCATGTTCTGCATAGTGGAAACATTAATTTTGAGCAACATTTGTACGGCAGTACTGGTAAGAACAAATCTTTTGGCGGAAGGACTTTAACTTGTGCTGCCCCATTCCATTCCTCCAGAGGCGGCATGTCGGGGTCCCCTTCTAAAAATACTTTTGGATGCCCGTACGGGTAGGCGCACTTGAAATTAACATAGGGGTACTCAGAGCATATGTCGTAAAAATTGATGCGTTCTCCCTTTTCTAAGTCAGCTCTTTTGTAGGCCCTCAGTGCTGAAGTGCGCCCCCCACACAGTGTCTCCCGTAAGTTCAGAGGTGGTATTTCTTCTGTGGGATCATTTTCAAAGAATGTTTTCATGTTTAGGTTATGTTTGCTTTCCTCTGTAAATTCACATTCCCACATTTCATGAACCGTGTAGTTGTTTCTTTTGAAAAGTTCTGTGATTCTCCTAGTTTTGTCATAACGATCTTCTCCAAAATGTTTCTTCATGTTTTGTCGGGTCGTGGTGTCTGGGAAACACTTTTGGCACATGTGATAGTAACACCCGTGAAACTGATAAATAATTTTTTCTGTTTGTCCATTCGGGTGTTTTATTTCTGTGTATCCATCAACGGGTTTTCCCATAATTTTGACTTCATGTCCATTTTCATTTGTGGAAATTTTAGCAGTGCCCCCTAGTGTACTTTGTACAAATCTGAGCCATTTTAGTGCTATTTGACTTTGCTTTTGAGCCATTCTATATCCCCCTCGAGGTGCGAGGCCAAGTGTGTACGGTTGTAAATGTTTGTATCTATACAATGCCATACAAGCTGAGGAAAGTGTAAGACAGTGTTGTAGCGGATCAAACCCGCCCATTTCCATGAACGTTTCTCGAAACGACTCCATACTACGCATGAGTATAATGGTGTCACTTTGGCAGTATGAGATCAATTCATATTGAAAATTAAACACGTAGCCATCATTTACTTGTTGCTCGTACCATGAGTCAAATTCTTGCTTTTCTCTCAGTGACATGGTGGATGTGCAGTAAAAATGTTTGTCAGGCATTGGCCCAATATAGTTATAATTTTCTTGTTTAGAGAACAAAAAGGGGAACCAGCCTTTACGGAGTTCCGTAAAATTAAATTGTGCAGGAAGAGAGCTCAATTTAACGGGGAGCATCATTAAGCTGTCTTTAAAGTGTAGATTACCACACTTGAGACTAATGATTTTCGCCCCTTGTAAAATGACCTCTGGCTTCCATTTTCTTTTCAAACATTCGTGGAGGATAAAATATGAGTCATAGGCCTTGCCATTATGACTGTACAAGCAAATGGATGTGTTTTCTTCAGAACAAAGTGTTTGCAAATAGTCCAAAAATTGCCCCACAACATTTTCATTCGATTGATCCGTAATAGATTCAAAAATGTGTTCTCTTTCCCCACATTTTTCGCAAACATGCTCCAACTCTTTGACTTTCTCACATTGATGACACACTTGTTGTGAAATAATGAGGTTAGGTTTGTGTTCCATCCAATTATTTTTGTTCTCATATTGTTCCGATTGTGTACATTCCATGTCGAAATAGACTCTCAAGAATCTGGTGTTTTTGCTGAGTGGTGGTGGCTCCCATGGGGGGACATAACACATGTGATTTTCAGGAACAGTCAAATTACATTGTTTGCACTTCATTTTTCCACATTGGTGTGTATCTGATTTCCCCTTTCCCCTTTTAGTGAATTGATAACTCTTCTCACACCACGGGCAGAATTTTTTTACTTCACATGTGGTCTTATTGAGTGCGTGAATTTTCTCAGTGTTGTGAAATTCGAAACATTCCCCTTTTGCAAAATGCCTGAAACAATCTTTACACTGCTTTAGTTCAGGATTGTCAACGTTGTGATCTTGTGAGGAACCACACCTCCAGCATGACCCGGGGCATACGTGCTCTTTTATATGTGAGTAAGGCACCAAGCACCGCTCACAAAAATAAGAAAATCCAAAAACAGCCGTCACCGAAAGTACACCGTAGAAATGTCCCTCGTGCAACAACAGATAAATGTTTTTCCTAGGATGTGTGGGCGTAGACTCAGGCCCGTGAAAAACAATGTCTTGTCCAAATTGATCTGTGAAGAGAACAAGTCTGTGGTGTTCAAGAGAAGCTTGAAGTTGTTTCACTTCTTGTAGTGAGCACTCTTTGTGGGGGTCAATGTTGGCTTTTGTGCAAAGTTCTAATGCTGTGTTCTCTTGTGCTTTTGAAGTTTTCTTTTTTAATCTCAAAAATGCCACTTTGTGTATGGTGCCTCTGAGCATACATACGGTGACGCACCGTGCCAAACACATTTTATCCTTTGTGTTCTGGGGGTCAAATAAGTGAGCATTTTTAATTTTCCTTTGAATAAATTGTGTAAAGTGTTCATTGGGGCGTTTTGGGACGCGACCTCCAGCCTCCGGGGCGGGCACATGGATGTAGGAAAAGAAAAGTTTTCCCTCTGTGAGAAAGTGTTCATTAGAGTTGAGAACGTGACTTATTTTGTCAAGTATAACTTTGCCCGACATTTGATCTGTGCGCCGGAGTGAGAACCAAATGGGCTTATTTACAGTTTCACTGCCCCTCACTTCGACCACACACTTGTCTTCATTTTTGGCCCCAACCATCTCCCTCTGCCTCTCCAGTAGCGTATCAAATAAGTCGGCTATGTGCCCGTGTAGGTCCAGTGTTTGCCCCATGTTTTCAATGACAAAAACTTCCTCCCTGAAATCCATTTTGAATCGATTGAGGTGTCGTGTTGTAGATTCAATGACGCGTATGGTGGGCTCCTGTTCCTCCTCCTGGTCCTCCTCCTGTTCCTCTTCCCTCGGCCGTTTACGTGTCGTGTGGGGCGAGGCGGGGCGGCTGGACGCCGGGGACTGTGCGTCGCTACCGGATGTGTCGGGCCGTGTGTCGGGCCGAGCGCCGGGCGGCGTGCTTGGCGGCGACGGCTGCGGGGCGGGGCGGCGGCTCGGGGAGTCAAGCCCGGAGGCCGTGCTGGACCCGCTGTCCTCCGCGGCCGGCGGGGCCTCCTGACGCGCTTGTGAGCGTGTGGTGACCCCTGCCCCGATCATGTTTTTGGCCAAGTGGTATACGGTGTGGATAAAGGGATTCGCCTGACGCGTCTCCCGCATGACGTCCAAAAAGGCGCGGTAGCCCGCGTCCAAGAAAGCCTCCAGGCATGGATCGTGTGGTATTTCATGGTGTAAGGGTAAAAGATTGAGCAGTGTCGTGAACGCCTCAGCGAGAGTTTTGTCTGTGGGGAAACAGCCTTCGCACCACTCCTCCAGGATCTCCTGTATTGTCATGACTGTGTAACCTCTTGTGTGTACTGTGTGAAAGTGTGACGAGCTTGGCGAGCACATGGCCTTAAGTAGTCTACCGCAGGCCGGCCGGGGCCGCCCGGCGAAACCGTCTACCGGGCTCCTCTACTTCCCCCTTTCCTAATCAATGTAGGTGAGGGACGCGGAGGGGCCGTCTTGCGGGGGACGGGTGCGGCTCCCCCCTCCCTCGGGCGCGGGCGAGACGTGGGCCGGGGACGTGCGGGGCGCGGGCGGGGCGGGGCGCG